TAATCACTTTACAATGATTAGCATATATCATTCTTGGGAAGATGGTTGGTGTTTACATGAGTTTCTCACATGTCTCTAAAGGGCAGCACTACATTGGTATAATGGTTTGAGTGCAGCCACTTATGTAGATTAAAGTGTTCTCTTAAATGTCTTTAAATGTGCATTTGGACATATTGACGATTATAATGATGTTTTCCAAAAATTATATCATTTTTGTCAAAGGCCATTTGAGTTAATGATGCAATTTAGTGTTTGTTTCCTATTTAGTGTTTACTTTCCAAGCTCATTTTTATAAAAGGTTTTTTATTATTCTTTATATGTTGGTTGATATAAACTTAAGTTTATCTTCTATTTCTTGTTTATTGCTACATGTTGCCGTCTATATTTATGTCGTGCAGCAAAACTAATTTTCATTCTTTATAGCAACAGACATATATATAAGATAAGGCAGACTTAGTTGTGTGTGTGGATGATTTCAAGCTTGAGTTACAATTGTTGCAAGTGGTGCTGAGTCAAACTTTTGACCTCATCTTTGGTATGGATTGATTATGGTGCAATCATACCAAATGTGACTTTGAAGTTTTTCCCTTTTAGCACATACTTCTTTATAATTTTTCCATTCCTCTTTGTCCTTTTGTTTTTACTTTTGCTTTCATCAATTTTGTCTCCCCATTAGTTTTTCCTATTATTCTGTCTTATTCCTTTATTCCCTTTTCAGATCCCTTTGACGATGTTTGTGTTATAGTAGTTGATCAGCTCATGAAGGAGTATGTTAGTCTCTTTAAAATTGACTTATCATCTGGGGTTTTTAATATGTCATGTTATTCTAATTGATGATGCTTGTCTAATTAAGGTTCTTGTTTGTCATTAGTCATAAAAAAAGATCAAGATTTTATGTACAAATATCAAAGAGATGTTAGTAAAAGTGTGTTACTTAAAAGTTGCAGAGTCCTTGGGCATGTGAACTTTATCTTGTGATGAAGCTTGATAGAAGTATTTAAATCTGTATCAATTATTGTTCATTGTAAAAGTGGCAATCTCGAATGAGTACTCTATTTCTCACACTACTTATCTTTTAGATTATTTAGGGAGAAGTCATTAGTTCACTAAGCTAGATTTTGCTTTTGGTTACTGGCAAGTGCCAATAATTCCCAAAACTATTTTTCATACATTATTTAGTTTGTATAAGTTCTTGGTAATACCATTTAGTTTGAATAATGCTTTAACAACTTTCCAGTGAATGATATATGAGATTCTTTACAATATCCTGGAAATGACTATTGACTTTATTAATGATGTCTTGATCCACTTGGAGGGGACATGGGAGGAATATATACATAATGTTTGTAAGGTGTTGAATTGGCTGTGAAAAATCAGTTTAAAATTGAAGCAATCAAAGTGCATATTTGGGTTTAAGGACATTACTTATTTTGGGTATTGTATTTCTTGTAAAGGTTTGCAAATTGATCTTAACAAATTTGTGGTTGTTCTCAAGTTCTATACTTCAAAGTGTGTGAATAATCTATAATATTTTGGTTATTTCAGTGATCATTTTTCTAATCATACTGCACCATTGTAAGCATTATTAAAGATATTTCATTTGGTCTATGGACTATGAGTAAGTGTTTATGAATCTTAAAGTGTTATTAATGACTCCTCTATATATTAACAACACTTAACCTTTTATTTTGGGTGTGGTTGCTTTTAATATTAATTTTGGAGGTGTGTTGATGCAAGAGAGTTTAGGTATGTTTGGTTAGCACCATTTTATTGCATATATCAATTGTACATTACAATTAGCAAAGGTGAACTACTCTACAATAGCGAAGAAATATTTAGTAGCAGTTTGGGGTTTCAAGAAATTTCATGCATATCTACATGGCTCTCAGATATTACTAAAAGGTGATCATGTTATAGTGACTTCATTATTGAAGTGGACGAATTTATTTAATTGTATTATTCAGTGGGTTTTAAAGCTTCAAATATATGATTTCGATGTTGTTCATCGTTTGAGGAGTTCTATATTTAATGCTGACACCCTTTTTTGAGCTCCTCTTCTTTCATCGCTCTCTTCTCATATTTCTAAAAAATATGTTATTTTAGTATTTATGGATTTTTTGGATGAGGATTTTGTGTCGTTGACAATTGCTGTACTTAAAGTTTAGTGTCCATAAAGTGCGGAGCAAAATTTATTTGCTCTTGATGAGGTTCATGAGGCTCAAAAAGTTGAGCTGTGGATTTGAAGACTTTGCAATGGGTTTGAGAATTTTATATCACTTGTTGATGACTTACCATTTTGGTATTTACATTAATATTATATTGAAAACAATTTTCTTTATTTTATGGGGACAAATTCGGATGATCATTTATGGCTAGTGGTGCTTTCAATTTTTATTCCATGCTTTCTCCATACCTACTATGATTCTTTTATTTTAGGCAAACATATAGGATATTATCATGTAACTAAGAAGTTGTGCAAGTTTTTTTATTGGTTAAAGAAGTAGCATAATGTTATCCAATATATACGGAATTGCATTTGGTGCTAAGCTTTTAATACTCCCTCTTGTATTATGGAAGGACGGTTAGAGTTTATTGCAATTTCCCGTTCATTTGAGTTGGTGGCATTTGATTTGATAATGCCTTTACTATAGTGAATTATTAGCAATGAATATGTCATTATTACTTTGAATTACTTGACTCATTGGGTGCTTTTGCTAGTGTGTTTGCAATTGATGTTGGATACTTTTTCCTCAATCAAATATTATTTCAACATTCCTATCTAGAGTGAATTCTTTCAGATAATAGTCCCATATGTATAGTTGAGGCATTTCATATTTTAATGTCTCAATTGGAAATACACCACACTTTTACAAGTGTTTATCATCCACAGTTAGATGGTTTGGTGGAATGACTTGTTTGTGAACCTTCAAAGGGATAATTACAAAATATATGAACTTTCAGCATTCAAATTAGAATAGTTATTTGCCATCTTTTCAATATGCATATATATCACAAAGGTATAGAATTTTATTAATGTTTCACCATATAAACTCCTATATAGTCATAATCCGATACTACTAATAGAGTTGAGCTTACCTTTGCAATTGCCATAAGTTGCCGATGCTAGGTTTTGGGATTAATATTTGATGAATATTTTTCCACTACTCTGAGTAAAGTTTGTTAAACACCTAGGATGTTTATAAGTGGGATAACAACAATACTACAACTCCCATCATTGTCCATCTGCGAAGTATAAAGTGGATGACTTGATGTTACTCTTTTTTCCCAATCTTAATGTATATAGTTTATCTAAAGGGCTTTTTGCTTAGTGGAAAGGACTATATCGAGTGTTATGACAAGTTGGACCACAAGTTTATGAAGTTTAGCATAATGTCTAATAAACCAATCCTCTAGAAATTGTATATATATACTAGTTGAAATGCTTCGTATAAAGAGATTAAAAAAATTAATACCACCTACAGATCCACTGATACCTCTTCTTGATGTTTTTCCAGATCCCAGCCCATCCACTAGAGAATCTTGACTATTTTCCATCATTTCGAGACAAAAAGATGATGTGAAGTCTAAATATACAATTACAATGCCATATACTAATATTAGTATGGTGGGATTTTGATAGGCATTAGATTAGTTTTAATCCAGACCATTCGCTCCTATAAGGTAGCTTATAGGTCTCCTATAAGCTAGGGTTTTGGGCTAAATAATATGCACATACCTGTATTCCATTTCTATAATTCCATACATTCATATTTCTATAAATTAATATATTTTCTTAATTGGTAATTTTTTCTAATTGAACAAATTATTCATCTAAATATATTATAATAAATTATATGCCAAAAGCACCTTAAAATTTTATATTCTCTTATACAATTATAAGTAGTAACTATTCTAGAAAATATATTGAGAGCACTAAATTTTCTCAAGTATGCAAGCTTTCAATTAAACTAATATTTTGTTAAACAAATATTTATAATTTTAAAAATTTAAGGAGAATATTTATAAGTGTGTGTGTGTGTGTTAAATAAAATATATGTTTCATTTTCAGCATTATAATAATCAGGTTTAAAGTTAACTTTTTAGATGTCTTTTTATCATTTTACTTTTTTTCATTCAATACTGATATATATTGAATGTTTGATTATACAAATTAGTAAAATAATTTATTAGTTGAAGAACTTAGAAGATAATAAACATTTTCTATATGGTTAGTCATGTTTACTATTATAAAGTCTTAGTTAATTTAAAGCTGTATTTTAATATGAATTGAACATACTCATTTTATAGTCTAAATCAATGTTGTATCAATTTTCTTTAAATAAATAGAATTTTAATAAATGAACTTTTCTTTTACCAATATGTAAAACTATTAAATGCAATATTGAAAGGCATTAACAGTAAGTATTTAAAATATAAATTTTATAAATTCTACTTTATGCTATTAGATATTTATTATTTATTTAATATAAATCATAAATAACTTTTTTATAACTGAAAATGTCTATATGTACTATCTGACAGATGGTTCACTTTATATTAAGACATCTCCTTAAGTAAAATATATAGTTTCTTTAAGTGTGTTTCATGAAGTTCTAATCATTTTATATTAATTAAGAAGCTTTATTATTTTGATCTATTTTGGAGAGAAAATTGTAATTTATTAACTGTTTTTATGAGAATTGGCAATAAGAAGAAATTCACGTGTTTTAAATTAATTCTAGTTTTTTAACACTTTATAAATTATTAGGGAGTGAATAGCACAGGATTTGGGGTGAGATTTGGGATGGAAAGCTAATCAATAAGTCATGATTAATAATAATATAGATTATGTGCATTTCCCTGTATAAATTTGAGAACCAAAGTCAGTTCAAGTATTATCACTATATGCTCCTAACAGTAACACCCACTGTTAATTTCTTTTAGCCCTATACCAACAGAATAGATGTTTATGGACCATCCACAAAATCTTGTCAGAATGCTGCTATTAAACAAAGAAGATCAAATTAAACGGTTGACCACCAAAGTTTTCCTTTGTTTTCTGTTTGGTGAGTGCGGGTGTGCCACCACTGTTCCTCGTCGCAGGGACAGCCGAGAAGTCAAACTTGTGCCAGTGTACGTCCCATCTGCGAATTTTCTACCCCTTTCATGAGTATTGTGTAGCCATCCATCACGCCAGCTATTTCCTCACTGTCCACTTTGCTTTTCCCATTTTTTCTATTCTCCAAAAGCCCTGCCTTTGCCTTGTTTTCTTGTGTTCGTGATGGCGAGATTCCGCACCACACCACCGGTCAAACACCAAATAAAAGAAGCGAATATCCGCTGCCCACCATCACCGCCACCGCCGAATCCTCCCGTTGACCCGTTTCAAGGTGGAGAGAATCTTTTGCTTTCTTTTTTGCTGCGCTTGTCTCCTCTCGCGCCGATCCGATCATCACGAATCTCATCGGGCCTCTCGTCTCACACTCCATCCATCCTTTCTTTTTTGTTTTCTCGCCCCCAAATCCCTCCAAAACGTATAGATCAGCGCTGCAAAACGGATGGACGAAGCGCGGAAGAAGAAAACGCAAAGATTCCACCACTTCTTCTCTCGCGTTACGCCGGCGGCGGAGGAGGCGGAGGAGCAACCGCGATGGATGATCCCTGGTTGTGATTGTGCTCGCCCTCGTACGTGACAATGAGCATCGAGGGATCTTCCAGGCATCTCTCGACGTGCTTGCGAGCCGGGCAGCCGCGCATGCTGCTACACTTGTAGTAGCCCCTGAAAAACACAAAGAGTCAGCGCTGGTCAACATAAGTGAACTCTAGTCAACATTTAGTCAACTCTAGTAAACGAACTGTTAGCTCCAGTCAACGGCTAGTTCTTACCTCGGATGTGGCGACCCCTTGATCGGCTTCTGCCCGTACTTCCTCCACGAGTAATCGTCGGGTGGGATCTCCGCCATCTTGTTGCTGATCGCTGGCACCTTGATCGTCCTCTTCAATCGCAGCTTCCTGGAATTCCAAGAACAGGCTAAGCTATGGATCGATCGATCGAGCAAAAAGTGAAGAACACTGACCTTCTCTTGGAGCAGTGGCACTTGAGAGACGCGTGATCCTCCGGCTTGCCACTGCATTTCCTCTTGTTGGTGGCGGAAGATCCTCCTCCTCCTCCACCGCCAGGATTCCTGGGCCAGATCGGTGGGAGTGGCGGGCGAGCGTCGCCACTCCCGACGCTCACGCAATCCATGCTGAAAGTGGCGGCCGATCGCGTCGTGGAGAGCGAGGTGTTAGACAGCGGCGCCGTGGAGCTCGTCGAGACGTTGGTGTGGGACGAGACGCCCGCGGCGGCGGCGGCAGCGACGAGCTTCGATCTGGGCAGGAAATCGTACGAAGAGTCCCTGGAAGCGGAAGCGCCGTGGCGGAGATCCGGCGGCGCCGCCCGCGGCGGGCAGTGGGGCGCCTCCGCGAATGCCTGGAGGGAGCTCGAGCTTCCAGCGCCGCCAACTGGGCCGCGGCGGAATCGAGCGTGGCCTGTTCTACTGAGGAGAGAGACGACCTTGCGGAAGCTGGAGATGGCCTCGAGCGCCGCGGTGCTACACGCGGGATCGTCGTCGTGGTGGTGCCGCTGGCTGTGGAGGTGGAGATCGAGCGCCGTGGAGGAGGAGGAGGGACCGGCGGCGCGCTGGGAGAGCATCTGGATGAGGCGCTGCGCGTTGTCGAGCCCCGTCTTGGCGACCTCCGACACGGCCTCGTAGCAATCCATCGCGGCCTTGGAGCGATCGGGCTCGTAGGAGATGAAATTTGTGAGGACCTCTGTCATGGCTAGAAGATCTGGCAAGAAGAACTCTAGAGACTAGAAAGAAATTTGGGAAGAGCAGGGGATTTCTACCAAGATTGCAAGCACGAGCTCAAGAACACGGGAGAGAAGAGGGAAAGATGGGATTGGAAGGTCAGCGAGCGATCAGAGCGAGAAAGATGGAGGGGTCAACGACGCAGCGCGCTTGTCGCCGTGGAAAAGAAGAGTTTTCTTGGCTGTTCACCCTCGTCGTCGTCGCTGCCTTCGTCGTGTTTGCCAAGGTCAGTCACGGCAGTCACACGCACACACGCACGCACGGCTCCCTCTTCTCGGTTGGGCGAGCATTAGATCGACGAGGAAGCGAGAAAAAGAGGAAAGGGGCCTCCAAGGGCGAGGAAAACGATGATCCAGGACGAACTCACCAATGCTTGGAGTGACAGTGGATTGATCGATCGATGGCGCTCAGGTGTGATAAGCTTCCAAGGGGAAAATGGTCGATTCGCCCTAGCCAAAACAGCACTCACTCTGTTTAATCGATCGTGGACTTTAGAAAGTCAAAGTTTCTTTAAGGCACCTAATAAAAAACTAAGGGCTTAACCCTAAACCCTTTAGGTTTTCTTATAAGAATTCAAAATAAACAAAGATCTGAGAAATATCTGCGAGATTCAATCTTATTCATAAAGCACCATAATTAAAAGTACTACCACAAATATGAAAAAGATAAGTATGATTATGATTCGTTAATCTGTATGGTCTAAAAGCCGCATAGAAAACTGAACTCCTAAGTTATCAATCGCACCAGAAAAATAATTACTATTACTAACTATTTCTTTTCAATATATATGAACCCTTCTAAGGTGCTTGAAATTATTTAATTATAAATAAAAATGTACTTTTAGAGTATGTGCTCTTTCTTAGTAATAATCTTAATGATCCTAAGTTTTCTATTAAATATTACAAACTAAAGTTGTTAAGAATCTAATTTTTGAAATTAGATGTTGAATTAGCTTTGGGCAAGTTTCTAAAAGATAAAATGGAGAGCTATGCCATAAGTATAAAATGCAGATCAAAATGGATATGAGAGGACATTGTTGCCCATCAAGTGCTTTTTTTCTCCAAAGAGAAATCTAGTGTAACTAAAGATATTTTTTAAAAGTTAAAAAATTTGTGCCCATGTGCAAATATGGACTATCCACTATAATGGTAATGGGTGCTACTGCTAGCAATATAAAATCTTTTTTCTTCTTTTTGAAGATGTATCATATTATTAAAAACATTATATTACCTTTATAGAAGTGGTTTATAGTTTCATTTATATTGCATTTTACTGATCTTTTGTTAATATCTTGAGAATGTAGTGCATGAGACACATTTAGTATGGTTGAGCAAGATTTTAGAGGATCTCATTGTTAGGGTTTCAATAGAGTTTACTTGATTTTTAAAGAATATTACCCAAAGTTAGTCTTGCTTCAATATTTAGGAAAGATTTATTTTTAGCCAATCCCAATAACTTTTTGTTTTCTTGATTCTTAAGGGAATTTATGTAGATCTTTATATTCTAATGATATAACAAGTAGTAAAAAGGTTTCTAGGATATTAAAGGGTTCACACAACTATGCCATTCCTCACACTATTTATAAATTCGTAAGTTTTCTCATTCCTTGGCCAAGAACAATCATTTTCTCCTCTTTGTGACTTGGTTGTTGATTGATTTATGCACTAGAGCTAAATGGGTTTGTACAGTTTATATTTTAGCATCAAGAATTTTATATTTTTGTTTCTAAAATGTTGCATACAAATGTGTTTTTCTTCTACTATGCATGCAACAATCACTTTAAGAGCTTGGCATAAACTAAATTTTCAACTATTTTGATTTTTTTTTATTTCTCTGGATAAATTTACTCACAAGTTTTTTTAAAAATTGTTGTGTGATTTGGCCTGAAATTGAAAAGTTCACAGCATTTTTCTCTTGCACTCTTTTATTTAGAAGTTTTGCATAAATTTGCAAAAGAAGATCTTTCTTTATATGGATGGATAAATCTTGGCAAGAGTTTTTTAGTGAGACTAAGTACATAATTTTAACTGTTGATAGCTGCAAGATCTTTACAATTTTCCATCTAAGTATGTGTTTGCCAATATTATAAGGTTTTTAAGCGTGTTCTAACAAGATTTTTAAGTTTACATTTTTTACAAGATTGTAGCTTTCTAGAGAGTTTAGTTTCATGATTTTTAGAGTTGTCTATGAAAAGTTTAAGACCCTTTCTATTAAGCTTCATAAATTCATGATTGTGAAGAGTTCTTTTAAGTTTTAAAGATTTTATTTATGTCCTCCTTTGTGGCATTTCATAGTCTATCTTAGTGGCCTAAATTGTGTTTAGCAACATCATCCCTCACATTTTATGATACTAGTGTTCTTGAGTGCTTGGCAAGCATAAAAAATTATGACTTAATCTCTTTTAGTTCTTGACCATCATTAAATGCAAATTTAAGTATATTGTATATGTTGTAGTGCATTTCAAGAGTTTGATATTTATTTGTATTCATTTGTAAATAACCAAAGAGAAGAACTTGAAAAATGATCTATAATAATTTATTGTTCATATGTTATCATTATACAAGTTCTTTATACACTTGTTTTTTACTCAAGATAAAGTTCTGTAGGCTAAGATACAGGCTTGATAAGCAAAAAATAATGTCAACACGTAATACTAGAAAGCCAAAATTAAACATAGTATGAAAATGTATATATAAAAGTTCTAAACTTAGGTGTAGGTGAGTTTTCTTTTTGCAAATTAATCTTAGATCCTATGGTTATATAAAGGTTTTCATATAGAATATATAATTCCATTAAATCATATGTGGTTTTTTACTAAAACACCAATTGTACATTAGTTTCAAATGTGAATTTTGAAGCCTTTATTAGTGAGACATATACAAAGTGATAAAAATGTATTAAAATTGAAAAATAATTTTATAGTTAATAAGGTTTTATTTTATCTATATTTTAAGATAAAGTTTTTTTATATCTTAAAGAATATGATAGATATTAATAATCTTGAAAATGGCATAGTATAATCTTGTTATTCTCTTGTGTAGCTAATATATTGAAGTTTGGCCTTATTATGTTTTTATTTATTTTTAAGAGAAAATTATAAGAAAAACATATGCTTCAAGATAATATTATAAATTTCTATAGAAAATCACAGCCATTGATTCCATATAAAAGTAACACTTGGAAATTTTTCATATGCTTTACCTCTCCACTCCAGGATCTTCTCTTAGGTTCATTAGAGTATCCTAAGATAACATATATATATATATATATATATATATAAACATGCTATATACACTAACTAAGATAGTAAAGAAACATGTATATAAAAACCCATATAGAAATGTAGGTTATGCAACCTTTGTTATCCCAAACTCATATATTTATGTTCAAACTGCTTCTGGGACAAATGCACAATCTAATACCACCCTCTCTTATATGGTTACCTCTTTGCTATGCCCCCCTCTGTGGCACTTTGTGTCACACCCAGTGCCACCAAGTGCCACACTTAACAACTAAGTAACATTATTTAATAGATATTGCTAGTATATAATTTAATCTTGATTTAGGTTTTTTTTATTGTGTTTTATGCTTGTATTCCTTTTTATTGTTTCTTTTTTATTTTTTTCATTCTCTTTAGTTAGATTGGATCGAGATAATATTCTTTTTATTTTCTGATCGTATTGAGAATTAATAATAAGGTAAATTCTCTTACTTTTTGTATTATGGTTGGTCTTCTTCCACATGAGAGAGAATATGAGATGCCATTAACCTCAATTTGATAATCAAGGTTGTAAACATGGTAGTGGAATTTTTAAAAATTGCAATACCACAAGATTTCTTAGAACTAGTATTTAGTTTGCAAATAGCAATCTTACATTTACTCAAATGCTTCAAGTGATATATTATTAATGTATTAAAATGCCATAAGATTAAACTCGTATTGAGTGTAGTATTAAAAGTGAGCATACAACAACAAATTGGTACAACTTTTGTCATGATATTTGTGTTATCATATTACAACAATTTATTTAAAATATTAGTGGTCCAAGAAAAATTATGGAAATTAATAAATTATATAGCTCAAGAATATATTTGACAAAAAATGTATATTGAAAGGAATGAAACTACAGTTAATTCTATATAGTCGTATTAAACTATAAAATCATGTTGTTATAGTAGAATAAAATGTATATTTTATTTGGACTTTTAGATACTTAAAAGTAATTGAAAGTAATATACTAGAACAATCTTTAAATCTATAATAATGAGTCTCTCGCGATCTCTCTTCTCCACATGAACCACATCTTGCTGAGGTATTTCGGCCAGGCGATCGCACTGGCGAGATCATCACCGACGGCCTAATGGAGCACGATGGCTCCTCGTACACGGTCTTGCTCAGCCGCGTCTGCCAAGCTGAAGCAGCTGCTGGAGCAATGCCCGGCGCTTGCATCCAAGAAAGCTCTCCTTCGCGCAGCCGCTGTGTGGTTTATCAGCCAATCGCTAGCAAGGGTGGTAACACTCGCGCCGCGGAGCTTGCCAAGCCTCTCAAGAACTTCTGCCGCGGAGCTTCATTGACGTGACCAGGCCATGCACGAGTATGCGCGCTAGCTAGAGAAGGTGGAGAAATTCAGTGGCACGAATTTCTTCACATGGGCGACAAGAATCAGGCTGATCCTCTCTGCGAAACGAGCGTGGAACATCGTTGATGGGACTGAGCCTCGTCCCGCTGAGCAGACGCTACAATCAGATTGGGTTTTTCGCAATCAGCAAGCCATCACCGTCATTGGCTTGGGATTGAGCGATGAATTCTTGCCGCTGATTGATCTCACCAAGACCGCTGCTGAAATCTGGACGTCGCTTCGCACGATCTTCGTGGCCCAAGCCGCAAATTCTTCCATGTGGCTGAATCAACAATTTTTGGCGCTTCAGGGTGAAATCTGTGTACGTGGGACGGATTCGAGGGCTAATGGCTGAATTGACTGGTGCTGGGTCTCCTGTCACGGACGATCACGCCAGGGCGTCGCTGCTTGCAACCGTCACGCTGCGTTCCGAACTTTGATCAAGTCGTGGGTGCCCTAATTGAAGAGGAACGCAAGATGACGGGGAAGAAAGAAGCGATGCCCTCAGCCAAATCTTCCTTGCTTTATGCTGGCGCTGCGGGAGGATCATCCTCGTCCTCTCAAGCTCAGCCGAACGACACTGGTTTTCGTGGCATTTGTCACTATTGCCACAAACCTGGACACATGGCGAGGGATTGCAAGAAGAAGAAAGCTGATCGTGCTAAAGCTGCCAAGGAAACAAGGCTCTGGGACTCCTCGTAAGCTCTTGATGGCTCGCAGCAGCCATCAGCCCGTGCTCGGACCAGAGCTGTGGCTGGATTCTGGAGCGTCATTCCACCATGGCTTCCTTGTTTTTTTTACTACCAAGAACCGTGTGAGAGTGATGCCGTGGGACTCGGTGACTCCTCTCCTCACGACGTACTAGGCAAAGGAACAA